TACTGTATGTACTCTTTTGCCGAACGTTATTCTGGACATTTAACTTTCAATACCATGTCCTAAAAAAATGTGTGCCCAGTTGTAGAGACCAGAGAATAAGTTTGAAAGATATGATGAAGTTCACAAGAGTTGAAGAGGAGGCACTAAATTTTAATACTTAGTTCAGTGAATACAGTTCTAACCAATATCACTAATGACAGTCTGTGCCTTGGCATGGGTAGTCCTCTGAGGGGAGGGAGGTGGAATAACCTAGATCTGTCTGTACTTTTCATGTGTTTCTGGACCGAGAGTAAAAGATAACCCTCCCCTCGTATGACGTGCATCTGTGGCACACATTCATTCCGGGCGTCCGGGTCACAGGCTGTGCAGTGCAGGATGATACACACCTGAGATGTACACACTCGCGATTACGATATTCATAACCCTTTACTTTACAGATTGAAGGAGTTGCGTGTAAAGTGTTCCTTCTTTACACTTTTCATTCTCTTCCTCCTATGCAGGTGACTTGGATTACTACTGGCTGGATCCCGCCACGTGGCATAGCCGGGAAACATCACCTATTAGCTCAGTAAGCGTTCTGGGAGGGAGATTTGGGAATTCAGGGACTGTGTGTGCTGTTCGTTATCCTTTGCTGATACGTGATAGATAGTAATCTTACTCTGCTCCATTTTACATTTTATGAAAGTATTGATTTCATTTGACAGTACAGTTTTGAAGAAAAAACAGTATCGCTGAATAATAACCAATTTTAAAGTAACTAACAGCAAGGGTTAAATAACGGCTGTAGGTAGATGAGATATTATTTGGTTAATGATGTCAACATTAACAAGTCAAAATATAGAATCGATTTGATTTAGGTAAGCAGATATATTTTAAAATTTCAATTCATTTCATTTCCGAACCATAGTTTAGAGATGTACTTAGTTACTGACTACTTTTAGAACAATTTAGTATAGTAAGTACCTATTGCAAATAAAATATAGCACTAAAAGAAAATTGTTACGAGTCAAGGATAGAGCCCACCAGAATAAAGAATTCCCCCAGAGTGTCCTTAAATGAGGAAATCGCACCATGCTACAACCAATAATTATGTATCTGTAGGAAAGAAAACAGCTGGTTTATCTTTTGTAACTTTGTTCATGTTTTAATAGCATCCTGTAACGTGGCAGCCATCTAAAGAGGGGGACCGATTAATTGGACGCGTTATTCTTAACAAGAGAACAACCATGCCCAAAGAATCAGGTGCATTACTGGGTCTGAAAGTAAGTATGCTGGTTTATAATGTTCTTAAAGGCTGAATTACAGTGTGGACTACATTCAGCAAAGTTGCTGACAATGATTTTTAAGTATCTTCTCCTCTTCAAAATAAAGTTCTTCTAGTGAATATACCTTGTTAATATATTGATGTCTTATGGTATATTCAGTACTTTTATTGGGGTAATAGTTTAAAATCATTTGCTAAAATGTCATACAGATGTCTTAGGAAGCTGCAATAAAATACAGGAAAATGAAATAATTTTTCTCTGAATATAAAGTTCAAGGACAATTTTTACATTAAAATGGTTTTAATGGAAAGTAGTAAAGTTAAATAATGTGGACATTATAATTTTGTTATATCCTGACAAACAACACCAAACATTATTAAAGAGATTGTTTCCTAAGTGCAATACAATTTATGGTAATACCAAAAGAGTAAAATGTATCTTTTACAAATATTACCTGACTTCTAACAGATATAATCTTTAAAAAATTAATAAATCACAAAGATATAATTTCGGTAAGAAAAAACATATATATACATTTTGTTTTCTTATGTGTGTGCATGTGTACGAGTGTTGTCACATGGTTTCATTTGCTTCCGTAAACTTAAAGAAACATTTAAAGATGTTGCTTTGGGCTTCCTTGGTGGCGCAGTGGTTGAGGGTCCGCCTGCCAATGCAGGGGACACAGGTTCACGCCCCGGTCCAGCAGGACCCCACATGCCGCGGAGCGGCTGGGCCCGTGAGCCATGGCCGCTGAGCCTGCGCGTCCGGAGCCTGTGCTCCGCAACAGGAGAATCCACAACAGTGAGAGGCCCACGTACCAAAAAAAAAAAAAAAAAAAGATGTTGCTTTAAAATTATTGTTTACCAAGAGATTGTATTATAGTTGGATGCTAGTTTAACCTCTTCAAAACCATCAACTATCAATCCAACTAAAAATTTGTTATTCAGTTAATGTCACCTTATTAATTATTATCATTAGTTTCTCCTGCTATGAAATAATTCTGATCACTTCCACTATTGGGCATGACCCTAAGAATATGGATCAACCTGAACTTTTGACATTATCCCTCCCATTTTTAATTATACACATTGAGCCCCTGCATTGGGAGAAATTAAACTTAGAAACTTTCCGATGTGTTTAATTTTAGTTATGGAGGAAAATCCAGGTGAGCGTGTTAATTATTCAGTGATAGAACTCAGACTTGGAGAGTTCGATTGGATCCTATATGTATTGATATTTCAGATGAGGAGGTCATTCGGGTGGTCAGGAGCTGAGATCAACTTAGGCTATTACTCTGGACCACGGTGAACTGCTTCCCCAAAGAGACCTGTTCTCGGTTTAAATCCCCAGTCTTTGTCTTAGACCTACATTCTACTAAAAACGTACAAAAGAGATCAACATCTCACGTCACATTGGGACATGATCTGAGTGTAGAAATTCAAGTGAATTTAGAGGGTAAAGAAAAAATAAATCCCAGTTAGTCAACTGTGTCAAACACCTGCTGTCTGATGGTGAGAGGGGGAGACCTCGTCTTTTGGGAGTGCGTTGTCCCTGGTGCAGGCTCCTCTGAGCACAAATGGATTGCCCTTCATTTGTGTTCCTGCACCCCATCCTAAACACCTCACAAAAGCTGTAGGATTAATTCCTCAAACAAAGAAACGTATGTCTCAGTGTGAGTCTTGGGAACTTACAAATTTATAATTACCCAGGTTGTTGGAGGGAAAATGACTGACGTAGGACGCCTCGGTGCTTTCATCACCAAAGTAAAGAAGGGTAGCCTCGCAGATGTAGTTGGACACTTGAGAGCAGGTAAAGTTTCACTTTTAAACAGTTAAGTAATGTGTGCTCTGTGTATGGTGGTTTTCAACTTTGGGTAAGTTATGCATAAGTAAATAACTAATTTTAATGCATGCATACAGATTTGTTTCCTGATACGGATACTTAACTAACTGCAAAAATAGGTAACTATACCTCAATGGCAGTTTGGAGAAAATGAGTAGGAATCTTATTATTTACGTAAAAATACATAGACACAAAATGCTGAAGGATTACTAATTTTCGTAGATGGCTTCCTAATGTTGCTACAAAAATCCAAAACAGTTTAGCCTGTGCAAAAGATAACATCACTATTTAGTCCTTTATTTTATAAGCCATAGTAATTATTAAAGTTCTTCATAGTGGTCCCCAAACACTTATTCAGTACCAGTGATTTTAATAAAATGTAATCATAATCACATTCCTTACACAGATTATGTAATATATTATTTGTTAATTTAAATGTGACCTAGATTGTATTCATGCAGATGTGCTACTTCTTGGTATTTGGAAATTTACATTATGTTACTTTGTAACCTTAATATGACATAATAAAATCATTTAATATATTGAAACATACCATACTTAGTAGCAACATACTTTAAAATTTATTTTCAATAAACTGTTTTTTTTCATTTTAGTAAAAATCATATTAACATATTGTCTCCAGTTTGCTGTACTTCAGAGTTTAGTAGAAATCTTTTGGTGAGAATGTCTGCTCACCCATTTGCCAGACAGTTACAGAGAAAACAGAGTAGGCTGACCTGTCGAAGTGAGGATTAATAACCTGTAGCACATGGAAAAGAACGTTTCTAGACTGTGTTTTCAGTTTTTATACCATAAGGTTATAATTATTGAGACCTTTATAAAAATATTCTATGACTGTTAAGGACATTTTTGTTGTAGTTATCAGGATATCAGTTCAAAATCATTTAGATTTTTTTCTTCGATAGAGACATGCTCTCCAGGTATCGTACGTGGAGAAAAAACATATGAGGGATTTTTCTCCATCTGCTATGCACACAGCTTTGAAGATGTGTACTGTACACTGTTGTTTCTTATCGGGGACTATTTATGATTCCATAAGAAAACAACTCAATCAGGAGTGACTGTGTCAAAAACCTGAGTCTTTGCTTGTTTAATGACTTGAAAAGAAGCCTTGAAAAGTATGAGTCCCTTGTTGCCTACTCAAGTGTAAAATACCTTTAGCTACAGAAATCTGAACTTGCAGATCAGATTATAAACATGATATCTTTTGGGTTTTTTCTTTGTGTTTTTATAGACAATTTCTTAAGAAAGTCAGTGAAGGGGTTTTTCTATATTATATATCCCTCGTAGTGATTTTCACTTAACACCCTCATGTGCCTAGAGTCTGAGAAACTTTAAAATGTCAGAAGCTCCACTAAAATAACTATAAAACATATAAGTGTACTTTTCACTTGAAGCAATTGATGTAACTGAAAAACATATTTTTAAAAATTAGATAATATATCCTCTTTGATTTACATTATTATTTAGGAACTACTTTCCTTCTGTTTGCATATAAACCGCATTGACCTTTAAAAGTACAGTTTGTTTGTTTTTTATTAGCGTGACCTTTGCAGCCCATGAATTGACCTTAGCATTTGCAGTCTTGCTGTAGCTTTTTCTACTGCTGTTCCCCTAAGTCTGTGCCCTGCTCCACTGCTTGATGTAATGATCAAACCACAAACTTGGCACTGACACTCTCCTTATTAAGACCCCTCAGTGTCTCTCAGGCACCATCTGCTCAGGTCAAAGCTCTGTAGTTTACCCCCAACTTCCAGCGACCTCCTTACCAGTCGTCTCATCCCCAGCCATGGTGGTCCACCCAGGCAGCTGTTTCCACCTCCAGGACCTGGCCAGTGCCTCTCGTGTCCGTGGTGGCTTTGCTGCTCTTGTGATCTGCCTGTTGAAGTCCTCACCATGCTTCAAAGCCCACGTCAAGTTGCTTTAGTTCTCAAGGGTTTCCTGACATCTCCCCTGAGCAGTAACTAATAACTTCCTCCCTGTCATTCCTTCTGTTCCTCAGATGAATTCCTATCATTGCCTGTAACATTTGATTAAAGGTATTCATTTCTGTATTTCTCCTCCACCAAATTTAAGGACAGGAGAAAGGCTCTTTTATCTTTGTATCCTTATCATCTACATCCCTGCCTGAAAAGAGGACTCAGATATAAATAAATATTGTTAAGGAAACCACCGTCTAGTTTAGGAGTTCTTGATTTGTAAATAATTAAATACATGCATTAAGTTAATTTGATATTGGAAGTTATGCTTCCAGGTTGCTGGCTATAAATAGAAGAATTTTATAGTGCAGTGCCTTTGCAAAATGTTGATCACAGCACATTACTGGGTAGCTAAGTTGATGTAATGGGTTGCATCCATTATTTAGAAAAACAAAAAGAACATGGTAGAATAGAAAATATCAGGGTAAGTATTGTTTTAGAAAATATATTTTCGTACACACACATACATGTATACATTCACGTGCTGTAAACTTTATTTCTTTTCTTGGTCAATAAATTTAAAAGACTGCAAATATATTTTAAATATGTATTATTATTTTTTAATATAGTGAAGTGTATTCGTTGCCTTTTTGAAAAACTGCTAGGTAACATCTTAGATCAAACGATCAGAAGTGATTTAACTACTGGTACTAACCATACTCTTTTCTCATACCAAAGCAGCATTATATGCTTTTCAAATATTTGCTTTTTCACTTCTGAGTAAGCAAACACTTGAGGCGGGGGGATTACTTTAAATAATCCTAGGAAAACAAAATTTTTCTACTTTTTTTTAAAGGCATAGCTAAAAACGAAACAATTCCATATTTATCGTTAGCTTTAAAACGTACAATGATGATATTGATCCATTAGTTTGCCACACATTTCCTTTGCTACTAAAGTGTTATAGGCACTGAGAACAACAAAATAAGCAGAAACATAAAAAAAAAAACTAAGACACTCCAAAGTATCACTGAGGCTGGGATATTTCAGCTGAGCCTCCGTTGTCACTTGAAGGATACTGGGCGGAGGCATTTGAGACCTAAAACTGCTCTAAATATTTATGAAAATAAATAATTTTTCCCAAATGGTCTTTGGTGAAAACTCTAGTTAACAGGTTGTTTGCATTGTGTATTTTCACATCGTAGCACTCTCCTTGATGACTCTTCAGTTATCTAACAACCTAATAAGCACTATCGTTTTATTACTTTAAACGTATTTTCTAATTTTACCTTAATGCTCACAATATGTATTATGTATAGAACGTGTGTGTTATGAACATCTGGAAGTGGGTTAACTGTCATGCAACAGTTTTACATCTGCTTGCTTTGTAACTTGCCATATAGCTCCTTGCGTTACCCTCTGGGTATGAATTCAAATCCTTTCATGCATTTTTATTCTGTTGTGCATCTGGAGAAGGCAATGGAACATGACTTATAGTTGGAAGATTCATGCTAACAAATGTTAACTGCTGTTTCTACTAAAAGTAAAGCAGGATTTATGCAGCGTTTAATAATCTTTCATGTATAGAGCCGCCTACATTTATTATATGGAGGGCATGCTGCTAATTATTATTTTTTAATGTTTCCAAATGAGCTGTGCTAATTCCATCCCATAGCATGAGATGATTTTTATATGATTTCTGGTATTTCTCAAAAGATAAAGGTAGATTGTATTGTGCTGTTTCCAGTGACCAGTAATATTCTATTGGGGAAAGAAAAAGAAAAAAAAAAAAAAAGAAGAAGAAGAAGAAAAAAAGTGTCTAGAAGAACCATTTAGCTGCCATTATATGGCAATCAATTTGCTTTCAAGAGCAGAGCCTAGACAATTAAATTATTTGTATATGTTTTGCATTTCTTTGTTAAAAAAAACAAGAAAAGATAAAAATAAACAGAATATATAAGGTAAAAAAATACCCTTTTTTTTAAATTCAAGGGGATGAAGTTCTAGAATGGAATGGTAAACCCCTGCCGGGAGCTACAAATGAAGAAGTTTACAACATTATTTTAGAATCAAAATCAGAACCTCAAGTTGAAATTATTGTTTCAAGGCCTATTGGGTAAGGCTAAAAAAACTTACTTCTTAAGTTTAGTAAATTACATGTATTAGCAGGGTTTTTAAAAGAAGTTTATACATTCATACAGTACATGTTAACATGGATAGTTTTTTCTTCAAATATGGGCATACATTTTAGAATTTTTAAATCTCTTAATTTTTAAACTTGAATACTGAATTTTCTTCACTACATTTTAGGAGCTCCAGAATTTAACAATTTTAGTATCAAAAAGTATTGATATGTATTTTTCAGAAGTGGACTATAAAGTAAAAATATTTTATTTTAATGGTAGAACTATTTATTTTTATTAATTCTAAACTATTATAGTATTTCCTTAAAGGGAGTCACTAACAAACTCATCTTCTTGTGATATTTAAAATAGTAATCATTTCATACGTCTACATGCACTTTTTATTATTCTACTAAGAATGGAATATTTTTTCTATATCTTTACCCATGGGTAGTTCCAGATTTTATTTAAAATCAAGCAAGCTTGAAATATTTAAACATTTTAATTGGCCATAATAATTGCTATGATATTTTTGAAACTCCAGTATTCAGCATAATTTAATTATCTACAGCCAATGGGATATTTTCTCTGTGTATAGAGTTCCCATATTGGTAGATTCTCATAACAAGTCCACAGAGTCCAGAACATTCATTTTGCCTGTCTGTAATCTTTTGGAAGGCATTTTGAACTGTCTCATTATAGTTGGCTTACTGTTTGAGTACATTTTTGGAAATTATTCCCTTTTTTGTATTCTCTAAAATATTATAGAGCCATTAATTCAAGACTTTTTATGCTGGAAGAGTTAGTAACCTTAAATTTTTCTTGTTCTCATGGATATATGTCAATGCAAAACATACCAGAAAATATAATTATCCTAATTCTCAAAGAACTGAAACTGTATGATCATATATTCCAAAGAAAAATATATATACAAAACTCTAAAATAAAGACAAACTTATAACCAATTTTAAGTGGTGATTATTAAGAGTAAATATTGAAGGCATTTGCAGAAGTATTGTATATTTCCATGCAGATTTATTAAAAATAGTGACACTATATAATTTATGCTAGTTTTACATGACGTGTTTTAGTGCTGAGGTAAATATGAGGCTGGAAAAGAGGTAAGTAAATTGGAAAATGAATCAAAAGTATAAAAAACAAAATTTAAAATCAACCATTGTGCACATTGCCAGATACTTTCAAATATATAGTGGTTTTAAAAGTAATCAGCTAAAACGCCATTGATTCATGATGACTTAAAAATAAAGGAACTAACAGACAATTAAAGTGGACTGGAGTAACACTTTCATTATATTTAGTGTTGTGCAAAATTAATTTTAAAAGTATTATTTGCATAGCCACACCTCAACTGCCTTGGATTGTGGAATTCAGAGGAATATGGGAATATGAAGCTTATATTTAAATAAAAATCAATCTGGCATCAACTTTCCAGTTAATAGGGAAATGATTAGAATCGTGGAAGAATAATTCTAGCTATATTTAATAATTGTTTAATGTAGTTGTGTAATTAATTTAAAGCAGAAAGCAGATATCTAGTCATAGTTTTGTGGGATAGAGATTCCAAGAAGCATTCCAAATGTAATTTACATGCTCATTGACCAGCATGGTCCAACAGACATCAGCCGTCCTGAGGTACCGCCCACTTTTGCCAACCTACCTTTATGCTTATAATTGTTATTAAAACTATTTTACCACCTTGTGTGTGAGCAGAACAATATAAGAAGGTTTGTGTAAATGTCAAGTGGACATTTATGCATTAGAATATTACTGAAGCGATTAACATTAAATCTATTTTAATTCAAAATCACTTAAAAAAATTTTTTACGACTTCTCCACAATTCTTCTTTCACAGACACATAAAATTCAAAGCCTGTGTCTGGTTTTGGAGCTCCAAATTTAATTTTCATAACTGACTTTGAGGCTGATTTTCAAAGAAGTTGTACTATCCAAAAAATATCGTTTCTAGATTTTTAAGAATTGAATTTTATTTGCCTCGATGAATTCAGGAGAAGGTAGCAGAAGATAAATAGTTGGTTTCTTGTGTCTTAGATATTGAAAATTAGTCTAATTATTACATAAAATATATATTTCATACGAATTATTAGTTGTACATAAATATATAATAAAACATATTTATAAAATACACAACACAGGATGAATTGTCATTTGTAAGAAGTATAAATTGTAGGTGATTAGGAGAATTACTTTGCACAAAAAAGTGAAAATGAAGAGTCAGGAAAATCATCAAACAGAAAATGAGTTTTGTTTCAATTCTCCCCAAAAGTGCAAAGTGAAGTTAGTTCACAAGGTAAGTGGTTAGAAAGTCTTAAATAGTATTCTGATAATTTTATTGGGACTAGCTAACTCCAGTCTGCTTTAATTTGTCTGTTAATATTTGCATATTGTTAATCTCCTTACATTGATACTAAAATATCTTGGAAAACAGAGGTTAAATAGTTTACTACAGTATAATTTCCAAACTAAGCTGGTCTAGGGTTCTAAGCCCACAGTGGATAATGGGTGAAGCTGAGGTCATATTAAATATTTATTCAGAACAATTTGTGAGTGTGTCAGGAGCGGGTGTTCTCACAAGTCACTTTCTAATCATCTAGTAAATGGCCATATATTTAGCTAACTTTAGCATAGAAATCTGAATCTCTGTATAGGGTTATATATGTGTATATTAATTATATATACACATATGTAAAATATTTTGGCTTTTCTGTTGCAAGCTTGAACCATTTTTAATTTCCAAAGCAATCCATCCTTTTCATTTTTTAACTTTGCCCATGATATTCACCATATTATTTTATTATCAAGAGATGTTTCCCTCCCTTTCATTCAGTAAACTCTTTCAGATGTGTTTGTAGAGCATATTACTGATTTGTAAAATATGTGTCATTTTGATTTTCTAGAATTGAAATAAACTATTGCCTTTGACATTTTTTATTTCCAAAACCTGCTGTTTTGGTAGTAAAAATATTGTGGTGATTTTAGCCACAATATTATTCTGATTGTTGTCATGTTAAAGTGTTTTGCTATTAAATGTGTAAAAACTTATTTTTCCTGCAGTTTTTTTTGTGTGTGTGGTGTTTGACATTCATGCACATTAGAAATTGCCTTTATGGTAACTCCCGTCCATTTCCACACCTGTAAAGACCCAAAAGGGTTTTCCACACCACTGAGATAAAGTGTGGCTGTGATTGCCTCAGACAGGGTGGCTAAGCTAATGGGATTTTCACCATACCCTGTTTCTTTTAGTGACATTCCACGGATTCCTGAGAGCTCCCATCCTCCACTGGAGTCCAGTGAGTATAAGATTTACTGTCTCCTTTAGTTATTTGATGTAAATGAGTTGGCAATCATGGCAGTCATGGGAAACCCAAAGGAGTTCTGCTTTAAGATTTTTCTCTTTCTGCTCTTTGTGTGTGTGTGTGGCGGGGGGTGTCTATCAAAAGTTCAAAAGTCTTTATTGGCAATAACCTTCTGCATCATAGCAGTCAGGATGCACAGAGCAAAATTAATATACTAACAGTTCTATTTGCTGTACATGAAAATGCATTGTGATACTGGATTATTCAGGTTGATTGGAAATTGGCTCAGTGTCATGAACAGTGAAGGAAGCAGGCACATAAATAATTCTAATACAACGGTGTCAGATATGATCATGGAAGTGAGTGGGTGGAGTAGAGGGGGATTTCAGTGGAAATAAAGGGCCAGGGGACTGTGGCTAGAGGGTTGAGTTATCTACATGGGCATTAAAGGGACTCCAGATAAAAGAAGATGATGGGGCTTCCCTGGTGGCGCAGTGGTTGAGAGTCCGCCTGCCGATGCAGGGGACGCAGGTTCGTGCCCCGGTCCAGGAAGATCCCACGTGCCGCGGAGCGGCTGGGCCCGTGAGCCATGGCCGCTGAGCCTGCGCGTCCGGAGCCTGTGCTCCGCAACGGGAGAGACCACAACAGTGACAGGCCCGTGTACCTCAAAAAAAATGTGGAAGTAACTCAAATGTTTACCTTGCATTGGATGGGAGTTAAATTAATTATACTTGGGCTTGCCTATTATGTAACCCAGCTTATAGGAATAGAAAATACAAGGTGATTTAAGGGGAAAACAAGTGATGGTTATAAGAAGATAGAAAATATATGGATGGGATAAACAAGGAAGTGGAGATTAGGTTAGTAAATCAAATGCATAGCATCATATTCTGCATACCTGCTAGACAGGAGACCAGATTTGGTTTTGAGTTTTCTAATATAAAGAGGGAAATGGAACCAATTGCATAATTTACAGTGTTGATGTTATTTAAAAGGAAAAAAACTGGTATATTAGAAACATACTATTAGAAGCAACAGTGTCATTGTACTGAGACCGAAGAAGAAAATTATCCTAAGAATACTTCATAGAAAAGACATAGTAATAAAGAATTTTATAGCACTGTTTCGTCTAGTTAAAAGTCTTCAGAAGGTACAGAATGACGCTGATTTAATTTAAACGTAAGTTGCATGTATGGAAAAAAATGTGGATGACATACTCTTGGGAAATGGTCCATAAATAGTGTTTTCTCAATAAAGCTAAGTTTTGAATAGCTGTAGGTTCAAGGTTATACTTGCTGGAGTAATAGCATTCTGCAGACATCCATATTGCTGGTTGTGGACACTTTATCAGTGACCCGGGAAGAGAGGACTTTCATTTAAAACGGGGGAGAAGAGCCTCACTGAGGGGCTGAGTGGGGAGCCAGCCTCCCTCCTCCACGCATGAATCACTAGACAGCATCCTCAGACAGGAGATTGATCTGTAAGATCAAAATCAAAAGAGGTGTAAATCGTATTTTAAAACAGTGATGAATTCTATCTAGGCTTAGACGCAGCTCATAAATTATATGATATGTGCATTCATTTTAATTTCAGTGAGGACAGTTCATAGTAGATGATCCTAAGATAATTAACACAGCGGGTACCATCTTTCTTATCACTGATAGCATGAAACCTTTAACTGTATGCGAGGCTGTACGAGAACATACACAGGCCAATACCCTCTAGAAACGCAGAAAGTCAGTACTTACAGAGTGGAGCAAATAAATACAGTATTTGATTATATCACTTTAAATACCTTTAAAATAGACAATTAACCAAAGAAAGCACGATGATAACTTTCTAGGACTATCCCACTGATAGTAGGTCCTACTCTTATGGATGCCATTGAATTATGGTTTTATACCAGTAACAGATGCATTTAACATTTTGTGAAAAATATGTATTCTCCACACATAGGTTACAAATATGTTACTAAAAAGTACTTGATTTTTTTTTCTCATTTTAGGTTCTAGTTCCTTTGAATCTCAGAAGATGGAAAGGCCTTCCATTTCTGTAATTTCTCCAACAAGCCCTGGAGCTCTCAAAGATGCGCCACAAGTCTTACCAGGACAACTTTCTGTATGTGTCTTTGGTACATGTTGGAGACCATTAGTATAAGCTCCCTGTTCTGAGTCTGTCTTTAAAATGTGTGGCTTTCTTTGAAGGCTGTGATACGGTCCGAGTCATTTAACAGCATAATCTACTTCATCAGTTTTCATTAATTTATTATTAGATTGTTCTTTTACTCATATATCTGGAAATATTTATTGAATGCCTACAGTGTGCCAGATGTTCTGAACAGTAAGTGATAAGTGATAACATGAAATAATAAAGTATCAGTTATTTTTTGTGTGCTGTATAAAAGTTTCTAAGGTAAGTAGTTGGTTAGATGTAATAAACCTAGAGAGTCATGGGCTGTTTACTTAACAACCTCTTGAGCCTGGATCCTGAGAAACTTAAATTTAAGATATTTTTTTAACTTCTTAAGACATTTGATGAAACTCTTGGTTGCTGACATTAGTGTGAAAAAGCTACAGTTTTCTTCACTGTTGTTTTATATGTGATCTGGGAAAAGCTGGAGTAAAGAAAACATGGCTAGTTATTAGGAAAAGCTACATTTCTTCAGATTATGGTAGAACACGGGACATTTGTATTAATAACTAAAAGAAAATCTTGCTTCACATTGTTCTATAAATAGTTGATCATGTGCTACTTCGGTAATGTGTGAATTTCTATAGTCTGTTTTTGCTGCTCTTCTCTTAGTTTTAATTAAACAAAGAAGATAACTGTAAGTTTGCTGTGATTTTTGAAACGCTTCCTGGTTTTAGCTTCTGTTTTTAGTAGGTTAAAGATCTTTATCTAGTCCCTGTGCTATTTTATCTGCCCTGCCATCTTTTTTATTTCAGTGTGTGTGTGGGAATCTCTCATACACTCCACCTATTTCAGGTTTATGAACAACACACCTCTGATATTAATTAGGAACAGAGGTATGGATTGATACAGATCCGGGTTTGAATTCTTAACCTGCCCCTTACTACTCCCATGTTAAATTAGCTTATTTTGTTCTAATGACTCTTAAATGTATTCTGATCTATACCTATTAAACAACGCATGATCATAATTCTTATTTAACCATAAGCCCAAAACTAACTTCTAAATTAAAAAAAAAAAATTAAAGTTAACATTGTCCCCTGCCAGCACAAATACTGCACTGACTGCATTAGGAGTTTGCAGGTAATATTTCAGTGTGCCATGTTCCTGGATTTTGTTATTGAGGTATCTTGTATCTTAGGAGAAATACCATTTGGCCTTCGCTTGGTTTAAAGGCATTTACGCATTGTACCTTCCTTTGCTCCTTTCCACTTCTCTCATGAAAAGTTATCTGTAATAGGTTAATTATAAAAATTAAATAAGAAAAAAATTCCAGAAAACAGCAGTACCTGGTGTACAGAGGCATACAGCAAATGCGTTTCCTGATGTCTTCCAAGTTACCTGCATATATTCTTCCCAACATCAAACATTTTATTTCAACTACAGTTGGCACTGCAGAATGCATTTAGTCATGCTATAATCATTATTAAGATACGTATAATCACCAAACACTTGCATTTAGCATTTAAAAACAAGGACAATTATTTCAATATCCCCCCTCTTCCCTTAGTCTTTTCTAAAAATTTTATCATTAGTTTTATTCCATCGCATGATATAAGAGACTATAGGTCAACACTGCAGGCCCGCCTCTTGTAAGTCACACTTAAAATGCGTGAAAAGTCAAGTTCTAAAATGGTTATGCTTTCAAGTTGGTATTCTTTGCAGAAATAATATCTATAATTCAGTTGTATTTTGCAATTTGAAATTTCCTTCTTCAAGAATAATTTTAGTATTTTTTGTGAAATTATAATGCCTCATGATTTTTACAAATGCTAATTTCTTTCTCCATTGCTCTTAGGTGAAGCTGTGGTATGACAAAGTGGGCCACCAGCTGATTGTAAATGTTCTGCAAGCAACAGATCTACCCCCAAGAGTAGATGGGCGTCCCAGGAATCCCTATGTAAAAATGTATTTTCTTCCAGATAGAAGGTATGGAATAATTTTAGAAAAAGTATGCAAAAATCTTTGCTAATTAGAAAAAAAGTAGAATTTCCTCTCTTGGGATACGGTTTCGTATATGTTTTAAAGCTTTATCGAGGTAGAATTGACATACCAAAAATTCCACATACTTTATATATATATATTTTGATGAATTTGCACATATGCATACACCTGTGTTATAGCTTTAAAATGTAATAGATACTTCTCTATGAGGGAATAAACTATATTATCCCTAAAAAAAATTACCTCAAGCCTTGAGTTTCTTTAAAATAATCTGCCAATTTTAAAATTGTCCATTACCTTGTTTCCACATCTATTAGTCTTAGACAGCTACATCATTTAGAATGTACCTCTGTGTATGCGTTTCTATAATTTCTGTAATCGTAACTACTGCCTACATTGTAGTTAAAACTAGAATCTTATTAAACTCGATAGTCTTTTCAGACTTGTATATTAAAAGTTATGAATGAAAGAGAGTAAACATCCCAAGAGCAGCGCTGCATGGAACTACAGTAGGTGGCAGCATACACTTGCGTTTGCCTTTTCATTGACAAAACATACTTATTTTTCAGTGATAAAAGTAAAAGGCGAACCAAAACAGTAAAGAAAGTACTAGAACCAAAATGGAACCAGACTTTTGTGTATTCACATGTGCATCGTAGAGATTTCAGAGAACGGATGTTGGAAATAACCGTGTGGGACCAGCCCAGGGTGCAAGAAGAGGAGAGTGAATTCCTTGGAGAGGTGAGGGTTGTCGTGAAGATCCGGGTCAGACGCCTCGTGAGGCTTCTGTGATGTGCATTTTTATGGCTGCTTTTATTATATTTGGGGGACGGCGCTTGATCTAACCCGAGAGCTGCCCTTTCAGATCCTCATAGAGTTGGAGACGGCGCTTCTAGATGATGAGCCTCATTGGTATAAACTTCAGACTCATGATGAATCCTCACTACCTCTGCCTCAGCCATCACCCTTCATGCCACGGCGACACGTCCACGGGGAGAGCGCCAGCAAAAAGCTGCAAAGTAGGTTAAGGCTCTTTTCAGTTACCAGAAGTAATTGTGTCGTTATGATCGAATCCGAGATGAACATTCAGGGTGTTTTTTCAAATGTTCATTAGAGATCGAAATATTGAATAATCAGTCATCTATATAAAGAGGCTTGACAAAACCATTTTCTGCATTTTCCCAATGAAAGTAATATATACAGTACAGTGGAGTAATTCCACAGCTGAAAGCTTAAAAATTCTCAAATATAATTCTTTGCCCAGTCCTGATGGAGCTGTTCATTGGTTGACTGATGGGGTAATTTTTGTCATTATTGGTGGGTTGCTGCATAGAACATCTTAATAACAGTATAATTCCTGGATATTTTTAGTATTATTATTTGTGAGAAACAAGTTTTCAAAAGCATTGTAAAGTGTGTTTGCTGTTGTTCATCTGGTGATTGGGGAAAACACATTTTTTTCTGTACTTATTAATTTTTGAATTAATGACAAAATCTCTTATTGAACAGATGAAACTTAGAAGCCTCGTTTTGGTAATCTGGAACCAAATTGTTTTCCTCATATAATTAAATACTTCATATTAGTGCTTCTCTGATCAACCATTGCCTCAAAATTAATGTTTCATGCAGTATGATGGCTAATTTTGAGGGCTAACCATAAATATTTTATAAAGGGCCCTGATGCCCTTTCAATAATATGAACTCAGTAGAGTTCCAGCCAAGAAAGTTCTCTTTGAACCTTTCCACTCAGCCCCATCCTCCCTGAACTGCAGAGGAGGGCGCATAATTGGGTAGAAAACAGTATACACTTCGCTATAGACCTTAATTAAAAACAATTTGAAGAGTCAAAATACTCTTCTATGAAATCCCCTTCCTTCTATGTGTCTTCAGTAATTATGAGGATGCTGAGAATATGTCATCCTTGGATAACGAATATTTTTTTAAACATCAGCTCTGCATTAACTTCGTAGTACATATATGTATAACTGAATCGCTTTGCTGTACACCTGAGACATCGTAAATCAACTCTACTTCACCAAAAGTGAAAGTATTTAGTAATAATGTAATTAGCTTTAAAAAAAATTGTGACCATGTCCTCCACATTTCCTGACCCGAGCGGACACAGAGGTATCTGTTTGCCTTCCTGTCGTGCAGGGTCCCAGCGAATCAGTGACAGTGACATATCAGACTATGAGGTTGATGATGCCATTGGAGTGGTCCCTCCAGGTGCGTGGGGGAACGTGGCCGGCTTCACTGTGCTTCCGTGCTTGCTTTGCTGCCAGCTTCCAGACGTCCTTGGGTCCCATATTGGAGATTTAGAGCACGGAGAAGTCTGGATTATACTATTCCATGGTGACTTGTCTTCCAAATTATTAAGAAAGTTTGAGGTGGACTAGTAAATACTCATTTAACATCCCCACTTAAATTAGTCAGGGTCCCCCTTAGAAGCTAACGAAGTTCAAATCATCATTTCACAATGCTCTGAGCAGAAGTGAAAATATGACTTTTGAAAGGATAGAGTTAATTCTGTAATAAAAATTCCATTCTCCTGTGTTTATACTGTATGTCTATGACCTCGCTTCCTCCGTTTCTGAAAATAATGTAGCCTTCCATGGAATACACTGAGACAGGTGCATGGCAGGGTTGAAAACTGCATGTGGCATGGCTTAGCTTTTAACGCTCTTGTGAAATGCTCAGCACTGATTATACGCAGAATGTGTCTGTATGTTTTAAAATAAGGAAATGCTTTAGAAAGATTCAATATTCGTTTGAAGTCATCGTCTTTTTGTCATTGTATAAATTAGTAAAGTCTTTGTGACACTGTGCAGTTCAAATCTATGTTTCTCATCTGAGTCTAGTCAGAAAGTGAGTCAAACCAAGTAGTGAAGACGTAATTTCTTGGCACTAATCCTGTTCCCTTTATTTACTAATGAAGAGTGGGGAGATATTCAAATAAGAAGACATTAAAGAGAAAATCTTTAGACATTAAAGAACATTAAAGAAAATCTTTAGACATTAAAGAAAAACTCCTATAAATAGGAGTTCTTAAAGACATTTCTTTGGGACAGTATTGACAGATGTTCCCTTAATTTACATAATTTCTCAGGTGGGGATGCACTTAATTTGAGGGCATTGGTTTTGGTAAAGTCAGTAGACATTACAAAGACTAGTGACTGAGGTCGCAATTTAGAGAGATACATACGACTTCATTAAAACTGGGAGAAAATTATGGAGAGTTCCCTAAAATTAAGCTTCATTTGCTCCGTGAAACTCAGAGAAAATATTGTCTTTGATCACTGTATGAAAGTAGCAGATATCTTAAAAACAATGAATCTGGTTCTGTGCATATCTGTGTACTTAGATATTACTCCTTGATATCAGACCATCAGGGAGAGTTTGAAATAATAGTGGCTCATTGTGGATAACAGTTCATGTTTTGCTCTCTGAGTTTGTTGATTTATAAAAGGATCAGAATAATTAGGCACACTCTACCCAGAAACTTTCACCCAGAGTTTAATAGAATATTGTCTTTATGGAATTGAAAGGGGGAAGGTAGCTCTCCATGGTACCCGTTGGCATATTTAAGTAGAATTCAGACGATTCCTCGTAGGAAAGGGGTCTTGTCAACAAACCTTTCTAACAAGAATCTTGGCTGTTAATTCGTCTTAATGTTGTCACTTCTTACTTATCTGAATAGAATTTACTTCTGTGGGTGGTTCTCACAGGCTATTCACCTAAAATTTCACATTTTTATGATGAGGCCGGAGAGCGAATGAATGAATGAATGAGTGAACGGCTAATTCAACAAATACTTACAAAAACGATGAGTTTCTTCTTTTTTCCCTGAGAGACCACATGGGTAACAGCCAAAGTGGGAAGTATAGGACCGGCTGCAGTGGTGTTAGTCAGTGTTTGGAACCACCAAAGAACACTGAATTCTAGATATATCTATATTCCATCCTGATATAAACATATGATTATACATGTTTATATCAGGGGTTATCCTTTTACCATAGAGAAGCAGTGTCTGAATTGTCATTTCAAATGATATCCATTTTTATTTAGCATTTAAAATGTAACGAGGCAAACTTTTAATAGAATAAAACTAATAAATTACGTAAGCCAATCAGTAATATTTTATGTTCCCGAGATTTCTTCATAAATTAATAAAGAAGATAATGGAATTTATTTATATTTTAGGGGTGCCCTTCAGTGATTCAAAATGTATATATGGTAGCTTCTAAAGATATAATAAACAATACATTTTAAGTGAAGAGGAAAGATAGTAAAATAAGGGCAAGAAGCTAAAATAAAGTGAGGGGATAAGTTAATAAACAAGTGTGTTGATACATTACCAGATATTCTAAGAGGCTGATTACAGATTTCCTAGTGTCCAGTATAGGGAGAAATTTGTTCACGCGTGGATGCCAGGTAGTTCTACGTGTGTTTAACACACTCAATGAAGCTTCTGGTTACGTTTGCTGAAGCAGCTGGAAAGTGTCATTTAGATGTTCTACCGCAGCTGGGCCTTGAACTTCCTAATACCTGGCTTCTCTAGGACCACAGGGTTCTATGTCCTCGTTTGATGTATTACCACCTTTAAGCAGTTGAGACCTCCAGAGCTACATCTTACTACCTTTATGGTTATCATAGCCTTATTGTTACTTAAAATAAGTAATTTCAGCTGCTTAAGAAGAATAAAAATAACCACACACGGAATGCCCTCATCTGAGGCCAGGCGTCTGGCACCCTCAACTTTCAGACCATTACTGCAAGTTCAGAAAATGAAAAAACAACAACAACAAAAACAACCCGATAACTTTGAACTAACTGAAACATTGAAATGAGCATAACGTAGCAGTTCCTTCTTACCTTTTTTCTGAAGGCAGAGTGCATGTTGTCAACAGTAAACTAAACATAATATAAAAAATGAATTATTATAAAAAGCAGGGAAAGGCCTATGACTGCATATTAGGGTAGGATAAAAAAGACATTAATCTCTATGTAAATACAAAGAATCCAAGAAAAAAATGAATTATACCCTTTTACAGAAGATGCCTAAAGTCTCTAAAAATTACTTCAGAATCATTAATTATTCCAAATCGAAATGTTCCATTTATATACCTTGAGTATTCACTGAAATCTTGAAATGGTGTTCCCAATTCAATCCTGACCTTCCATAATTACAATATAATTGATACCAGATGTTTTCAAATGATACCAAATTGTAATTTAAAATGTTTTAAGTAATTCAGACTTTGGATTAATTATCTTTAAAACAGCCACCATTATTTTTTAATATTGAACGATGAAATAAATTCACTACATGTAAATTTAGTTGGTTTCGTTCTAGACTTAATATTTGTATGTCTGAACAAGGAAATTTTCTACATGAAATTCAAAATAGTACCTGAATTGCTCTTATCTTTGTCGTAAAATGAAATTATAAATTATACCACTTATGTTTCTATTATTTGGTCCTTTACCGATGTTTTTAGAGAGTAACAAAATAGCTGAGCTTCTTTGGTGTCAATATTGTCAAATTGGCCTTTATGTAATGTTTAAAGACCTTCCGTATATTCTAAGCTTAGTCAAAAGATTATACAATCACAACAAATAAACTGTTGGGGAATTTAGTCTGCCTTTAATAATAATGTTACATGGCATATTTTAAAAATAATGTGAGAGTTGTCAAGTAAATAAATGAGTAGCAGTTCAAGCTACCCTGTTAGACTTAATGTTTTCATGGTTGTGTACATTTCGTGTAGTTGTAAATATCATTATTTTTCCTTTGGCCACAGAATTTTTTATTTTCCTTCCAATAATAGCAACAATAACCCTGTGAAAACATTAATTAAACTGTTACTATGGTTTGCTGTTTTATCTTAACTAAATCAGAGATCATAGAAACCTTTTGGTTTCAAAGGAGAATGACTTTTAGAATTTAATTTTAAGTAACTGTATTAACTTAATTATGTTAGGTTACTGACACATTTGTGGAATAGTTTCAGATGTCTGGGGTAGATTTGATAATTGTTTCTTTCGGAGGGTTGATTTGTTCTGCATTATGGCCATAGTCAGCTCCACCCATACCCTAGTTTCATTTGAAAATTGCAGTATTATCTGTGGTCCTCAAAATTCACAATCAGTGTTTGTTATAGTGAAGCCCTGCTGCTCTTCTTTGTCAATTAAAATTGGTATGGTAGCATCTTTATTTTCTTATTAGTGAAGCCATCTGAAATCCAACTAACATAATTTATCCTTTGGCAGAAAAATTCCAATAACATTCGAAGAGACACTAAATTTCTAAGCATTGACTTGTATATGACTAACAGTTCACTGTCAAGTGCTTGATTTGTGGTGCTAAAAAAATCACTCATTCCGTAAACTAGTATCCCAACTCATCCTGACGTCTGAGGCATCAGCTGTCCTATTTGTCATGAGTATCTCCATGGTAACCTTTGAGCCAAACTGTACCCGGTCCTCATGCATGTGTATGTTACATTCTGTACCTATACTTAGTAGTTTTGTCGAAAAGGCTGGTAATACTGACTGCATGGCACTTATCTTCATAGGTCAATGGCCGCTTTCCATATCATTTGATGTCTCCACATGAGCACTGACACTATAGAAGAATACTGACTCGTTGTTTGTGTATACTCTTGCCAGTAGGTTATAGGTCTAGTGCTAGAGAAAGCAAACCTTCAACATTAACTGTGCCAGAGCAGCAGAGAACAACGCATCACCGATCACGGTCGGTATCTCCTCATCGTGGCGATGATCAGGGGAGGCCGCGTTCCCGTTTACCAAATGTGCCATTACAGAGGTAGGCTTCGAGAAGAGCTTAGCATCCTTGACGGTACTCTTTATTATAATACAGTGCAAACTGCCACAAGACTCTAACAGAAATGAAATAATGGTTTGGTCAATCGAGTTATTTTTTTCAGAATCCTTTATAGGCAAAATGCCTTTTTATTCATTACCCAACCTATGCAACATTCTGTTCTCTAATCTCAGGTAATCTCCCAGGGAGTGGAAGAAGTGAATGTTGCAAGCACAGTTTTTGAATAACTGTCTTGTATTCTGTTTGCTAGTTAATTTTCTCCTGTTGGGAGAAATTGTATGGTAATAAATTAGACCTGTGCAGAGAAGTGGCACAAATGATGAGCTTGAGGCAGAATGCATTTGTAAGAAATTTGGGATTGTCTCTTTGAGGCACTTTAAATGTTTGGAAAAGCATATAAAATGGAAGTTACATCGTGCTGTATTTCATCTCACCATGAAATACACTTCTGAAATTTTCACTAAGTATGCAGATGAAAATCGTGGTCCTTTTTTGATGGAAGTAAACAAAGGAGGTTAGAGAAATACAGCACAGGCAAAGCAATGGTAGAGAATAAATACCTTTAAAACATGTATTTGGCGATGAGGCCAGCACGTTTCAAGCCGTGTCAGTTATTTGCCAATTACCGTCCATTCTTTCCTGTTAGTCTGTCAGCCTGTTTGGGGAAGGTGGTACATTGTGATGCATGTAAATGTTTGCAATCATTTCAGGAGTTTAGATGAAATTCATCCAACAAGAAGGTCACGTTCTCCAACCAGACACCACGATGTGTCCTGCAGCCCAGTTGGTCACAGACCCGGAGATGTGGACAGTCAGTGTCTATCAGAACAAGACAGGTATTTGTCCACGTTATGATCGCAACACTGTATGTCTTCTTTGCTCTGTTTTCGTCTATGATAGGTATCTTGGTATAGTACAAAAGACAGGAAAAGTATTTCATCATTCAAAACTGAACTTCTCCCAAGGAACGACTCTTAAGATATTCTAATAGAAATGCAACTCTGGGAAATATTTGACTAATATTATATTGTCATAAAAGGTGCATTTAAAAAAAATCAGAATTTATGTTTAGCCAGTTTTAAGTGTACAGTTTGTTGTTGACTTAGATACTAACCTAAATTATAGAAGGGAGTCTACATAAGCAATTTTCAAATATTTTATTTTTTGTGGGTTGCATAATTATTTATGTAATTATAAAATTATGTTTTTTCTGCAATAAAAAGTTTTTGGGACAGGCCATCTGAAAGACAGTTACTATTGCAGAGTTTCTGTGAAAACTTCAGCAGTCATATTTTTCAGTACACCTACTTCCCATAAAATGTAGTTACCTAAAATGTCTATAAAGTACAAAATATTGAAATGGATTCTTTCTTCTATGGATGTGTACTTAGGCTTAGTTCTGCATCTGTTTGATGTTATGACTCCATGGTTCTACATGCCCGCGGACTTTCTCCTCAGACCAATGCCCCTCCTGTAAGATGGGCCTGACCACAAGCTCACGATCTGTTTTGGGCTGTTAGAATTCCCAGCTGGTTGAATCGTGTCTTCTGGCTTTTTGAAGTGTAGAAACTTTTAGGGAAGGGTAGGGAATGAGGTTGGTACACAATGATTGATTTTTGCTGTGTAGTCAAGGACACAGAACTCAAGGAGAGCCTCTTAGCTCCCTAACTGTCACCCTGATGGAGCCATGACCTTCAGGAGATGAGGTTGTGGTACTTACTGGGACGGAGCACTGCTCGGAGGAGGGTGTCCCCGCTGCTCAGGTGGAGTGGAGTCAGGTGAGGGTCCCTTTGTTGACATTCACTGGGGCCACCATGAATTTAGGTGAGGAGGGGGAAAAAGAAGGACTTCTGGGCCAGGGCATTCAATAGAGTGAAATTAATTTGAGTGTAGAAAAAGTATCAGTTTTAAGATAAAACATTCCTAATCAAGTATGTTCTTAGTTGGTAAAGGAGAAACAGAATAAGTGATATTGCATTTTACAGGCTGTAAGAGCCAAGAAAACTGTCATGCTTTGAGTTGCTAAAAAGAAATTTTAAAATTTAGGGTTCCCATTAGTATCAGAAAAACCAGGTTTATAGGGCTTTTAAAAGTTGTTAAAATACCTAAGTGTCTAGAATTGGAAACAGATTTCTATGTCTTATTTGGGGAAGGTTCAGTTTAGTTTAGTTTTGCCTTGATACTCTGTGAAATCACTTTGAAATACAATAGCAACAGCTAGGACTTCGACCATAATGTTTGTACTTTATTGTTGAAAATTTTAAAAGTACTGTCATGTTTATTTTTGTTTAACCTCTCAAGCAAATATGCTAGTGTAGACAATCTGGTTTCTTCCCTTTCCATGTTGTCATCGGCATACCATTGGCATAACCCATGTCATTTAATGCCTCATAACTTATCTGTTTCACTCACCACCCATCCTGTCTGTGCAGTGAGCTTCTCATGCTTCCCAGAGCAAAACGAGGACGAAGTGCAGAATGCCTACACACCACCAGGTAAATACAGGAATTTGGTGACGGTAACTGTGTGTGATGACTCTTTCCATTCTACTCTGCTTCCGTCTCCCCCTTAGCGGTATTATTACGAATACGTGAAATTAATTTCCCCAGTGTTCAAATTGGTTTTGTTTTATATGGAGGTTGTGGAAAAGGTTCCAAATATATTTGAAGTCTGATCCAGACAGACTGCTTTTCTATCAAAGTATTCGAAATCCAGAGGCTGCTGAGCCTCTGTAGCTGTAAATGTGTTTACACATTTCCAAAACCGAGGAACCGATTTCTGCAATTAAAATTCTATAACCTCGCTGTGAGCCCCACCACACACACACACACACATCTAGACACAAGAGGTCTGATCCGCTGTGCATGGCAGTGTTACTGTTTCTGTGATTATAAGTTCACTTTGTTTTAGCCTTCTTTTATTTTTATGTTTTGGTTCTACTGTTGTTTTCTTTCTATTTGCTTTTAATAAGATCTTTACCACTTCATTTTTAAGAGCTGAGCTTCAGTTTCCTTCTTGATAAAGAGTGCAGATATATGACCTGTTAACTTCTAAGCCCTCCCTCCCTTCATACCCTCACCAGGTCAGAAATGCTACACTACCAAATTTCCCATAGCGACACGTAACGGTATAAAGCCTCCTTAAAGATGAGAAGAAGAGGGGATACGTTATTGTCGTCTAAATTGGAGCTGAGAACCTAGCACTTTATTTTCATCTCATTACATCTTGGATCTCATATCCCAAATAAGTCCTTTTACAGATTACTCAAAGAATACAGTCTGTGTGTATTTATTGTCAATGTGAAGTTAATGGAAGGTAAAGAATAACTAGGTGAGACAATGAACCAACACACAGATAAACTCTTTCAAATATTATGGCCATAAAGAGTAAATAGGAGAGAGAAGGAAAGAGCTGTACCCGGAAAACCTGCGATGCAAACACAGATGCAGCTTTATTGTGTCTGTGTGGACCTGGGCTTCCGCTCAGGAATTGAACGTGATCACCCGAATGAGAATTCACTTTTTACATGTATTAAACTCTGCTAGTGATAACTACTGCCCTGTGTGCGATGCCACAGGGAAAAATGAGGGATGTTAGTTCTGTTTGCAAACTGGAGAACTAATGTAAAATCCTAACTATTGTAAAAAGTCAGCTCAATTCTTTATAATTCGAAAGCCTCCAGCCTTACTTTGTTGTCCTGACAAATAGTTTAATAGGAGTGATTTCTTTACAGATTCAGAAAATTTTCTCATAGTCCTGTTGGGGTGACTGCAACTGTAAAACACAAACAAAACAAAGCTTTCATATTTATTAGGCACCTGGTGTGTGCCTGGCCCCCAACGTGTGGGTACTGTTAACACATTCACACCAGTAAGCTAAACAGAATCACTAAATATATTGTTTTTCTTTCCGTTACATCCCACTTTCGAAGGTAAAATAACAGGATAGGCACAACAGAATAAGCTAGTAGTTTCATCATTTTGTAAAATCTTATCTTCAGAATACAACCTATCATATTCACTTACAACTTTTAAGAATAAAACCTGTGTATTTACTACTTTCCAGTAAACAAGGAAAATAACATCCATTGAGTACCAAGCACAGTGGTAATTATTTAAGGAATTTTATCTCCATGTCCTGACAATAGTTGTATCATATGAACATTATTATCCTCATTTCACAGATGAGGAAAGATGCTAAGAAAGTTTTATTTGACATGTAACAGAGCAAGGATTCCAAATCAGGTCTGTTTGAAGTTTTCCACTGAACTAGTTTTTCCAAAAATGTGATCCGAGGAGTTGGTTCCGCATGAAGTTCAGCCAATTTAAGAGTCTGTGAGTCAAACATATTTTGGAAACTTTGCAAATTAAAGCCACTCCCTGGAGATTTCATACGCACAGCATATCAAAGTCACATACTACAGAAATCTGTCTCATATTGTTTAATTCATCGCCCCCCATTGTTATCATTATCAAATGCTTCTTCCATAAAACCTTTCCTGAGACAGTCATGTTGTACAGAAAATGCTGTGGCTTCCTTACTGTGTCCTAGACCCTTTGTACCTGTTATTTCACTTAATCCTCACAGCATCCCTGTGAAAGATTATTTCCTCCATGATATAGATGTAGAAAAAGACTTGATGACTTGAATCATCCAGGTTCACAGCCAATAAATGGCAAAGCCAATGTGGACCTTCAAACTAAAAACTGTGGCCACTTTTCATTCTATTTCCATTCTCTGCTGACCCCTGTTAGAGTGTAACCCCCCCCAAAAAATTCACTTTTGAACCAATTGCTTAGAAAAGTTGTATAGCAACTTGTTACTAAAGACAGTTGCCTAAGGTTTAGGAGTTGAAAAGAAGATTCTGTCTGTGAAGCAGGCTGAATCCTTTGCTTCAGTAAAAGTGTCCTCAATCTGTGCTTGAATGTGGTACTTTAATACATTTTAAACCACAGCTTTAAAAGATTTCCTGAATCAACCATTAGTATAAACATGAATAAACCCACGGGGGTGTTTGATATTTAATATCTCCTCAGCAAATGTTTATTCTATTCCTGATTTTATCATACTTTAATGTAAGCCAAAATGGACAATAGATTTTCATTATTGACAGTTAAAGTTTGTAGAAACATTATTAAATTACCAAAACATTCATTGACAGGACCAAGTTTACCCTTGGTGATATAGACAGTCCAGAATTCCTTATAGGTTTTAAAGGAATTCAGATGATGTTGGGCCTTGTTTCTGCCAAGTCAGAATTCATGTTCTGGTTGCAGCTAATACCCATCCCACCCAATTTCTGGTGATAAATGTTACCTGCTGTTGGATTTGTATCCAGAAGGTGACAAATGGAAAGGACTTGTCCACTGCAGTCACCTCTTTTTTTTTTTTTTTTTTTTTTTT